ACCAGCGGCAGCGCCTGCACCAGCACCGGCTGCAGGAGCGGCGCCCGCTGCTGCTGCTAAGCCAGGAACAGCGCCGGCCGCAGGAGCGGCGCCCGCTGCTGCTGCTAAGCCAGGAGCAGCTCCAGCTGCTGGAGCGGCGCCTGCAGCAGCAGCTAAGCCAAAAGATCCTAATGATCCTAAAGTTAAAGCTGAAGAGGTACAAAAGCGCCGTAAAGACTGTTTCAATTCTGTTTAAGCGTAAAAGCGAACAATCTTGGTGTCTCGGTGTTTGTGTCCATGCACGCAAAATGTGACGTTTTTCGTGTACTGTGTGTGTTCATTTTTCATCACAATGTCTTCAAATCTTCTCGAGAAAAAAAAAAAAAGAAATGCAGATCAGGAATCCTAAATAAGTAAATCTCTATTTAATACAGGCAAAGAAAGCTAAACAAGCCGAAATTGAACGCAAGCGTGCTGAAGTGCGTAAGCGCATGGAAGAGGCTTCAAAAGCTAAGAAAGCCAAGAAAGGTTTCATGACTCCGGAAAGAAAGAAGAAACTTAGGGTAAGCTTGACTTAATAACGCTTAAGTTCAATTAAGATAAAATTAACTTTGCTTACTTTTTAAAATATTTTAAACAGTTGTTGCTACGCAAAAAAGCTGCCGAAGAATTGAAAAAAGAACAAGAACGTAAGGCTGCTGAACGTAGACGCATCATTGAAGAGCGTTGTGGCAGTCCCAGAAATCTCAGCGACGCTAGTGAAGGTACGTTTGCTTAGGGTTCCATTTTCAAAAAATTCATATACAATAACAAGACCAATACTACATTACATACAAACACATATCAACGACATACACGTATCAATGAACATTTATATGTAGAATCAAACCGTATCATTTTTTTCACCATTGCAAGTCCATAAAAGGGATTACTTCCAAGGTTTTTTTTGTTACAGAAATCTCAAGTTTATGCATACAAACATATATATATATATATATATATATATATATGTATATATATATATATACAACATATATATATGTATGTATATACATGTATGAAGTTTATACATTTTTCAACCTTCACAATAATTATCGAATACTATAAACTAAAAAAAAACTCATTCCCCCTCCTCTCAACAGAACAATTAAAATCCCTTTGCAAACAATATCACGACAGGATTTGTAAGTTGGAGGATCAAAAGTATGATCTCGAATACGTTGTTAAGCGCAAGGATGTCGAGGTATACACTAAGTATCAAAATTCAAACAAAAAAAAGATTATCTATTTCTACAAAATTCCTGCTACTGAGCTATTATTTCACTTTATACCACGTTTTACGTTTTACTTTTCCACTTACACGATAACTAAAATAAAAGGTTTTTAATAAGCAAAGCGAAAAACACACAAAAGTTTTGTTAAGCGAAAGAAGAAAAATATTTTAAAAAAATTTTTCATTTAACTTTTTTATTCCTTTACTTTTGCGTGTTTTTGTGCTTTCGCTCTTCTATTTATAATCTTTATCTAAATACGAAAAAATTTCAAATTTTCGGTCTAACACACTTTTCTCAGTTTTCTCTCTCTTCTTTTCTTTTATCTTACTTCTCTATTTCAATACTTGAAATTTTTGCACAAATATTACTAAATAAGTATTTAATTAATTATAAATAACAATGAAAACCAAAAAAGGTCATCCAATAGTTACACAATGGTGGAAATAAACCAGAATCACTCACCCCAGTTAAGTGTAATCCTAAGTGCAACAACAAACAAGCAAACAAACAAACAAACAAATAAACTCTTTACATCTACTCACAATCACAAGTTTATAGAACTTTACAATAAATTTTTTTTTTTTTTTTTTTTTCTCATTTCTTTAAAAAATAAAATTCAATTATTAATTTATTTTTGCGATAATTCCCTTTATTAAAAAAAATAAAAAATAAAATTTCCTCTAGCCGCTCTTAAGAAAATTTGTCAAGACTATTATGATAAAATTTTGAAATTGGAAGATCAGAAATATGACCTCGAATACGAAGTTGCCCGCAAGGATTTAGAGGCAAGCATTTTATTTTTGAAAGTATCGTTCATAATATTTTTCTTACTAAAAAGCAAAGGAAAATACATAATTATATTTTTAACAATTTTTTTAATAATAGACGATCATACGCTATATACTCATATATGTGGTTACATATTCATTCAGACAATTCTCAAAAAATATTTAAAACGATTCGATTTTCTGCTGATCCTTTTGTTTTAAAGTTAGATGATTGTATGTGACTCCCGCTATTCATTTTTATAGCACTTCTTTGAGGAGTAGGAATGTTTGCCCTGTACGTGCACTATTAAAACTGTATATCGTTTCAATAATGCCCATCCATCCATCCGTCTGTTATTCAAATCCTCAAAGGACTACGACACAAATGAAATTGTCTTTCAATACTTTTGACGTGATTCCGCAAAATGATTTTGGAAATTTTAATGAAGCGAAGAACTGAATAAAAAGAACTCGATTTCAAACATTCCCATTAAACGCGCTTGCAAATAGCGAAACAAATCAAGCGGTTACACTGATCAAAATTTACCCTCTGGACTTGAAAATTGTTTCCCTAGTCTTGTAAAGAGAAAAGGGGGACGATAAAGGTTCTGCGTGACAAATTCACTTTCAGATTCAGACTCGGCGCCGCGACTAGATATAGAAAAGGGTGAGGCCTGTATCTGCATTGGGTGCATTTAAACTGACACATTTTTTGTTCTATATGCACCCTATATATATTATATTCATGTGTAATTCCATGGCAAATATGTGCAGATGGATTGCTTAACCAAGATCTCGTCAAATTTTAAGCTTCTGTGAATGCGTCTAAGCCTATAATTGATATCTTTCCAGGTTATATCCATCGAATCTCGGTAGTCGTTGTAGGTGGTTTTAAAAATGCTTGCATATCAGTATTATCCGTAACTAATTCTTGCTTGGAAATTCTTTTAATAAACGTAATCACGGTCTAAAAAAATCTCTAAACGTCAGTTAGTTTCAGTCCGTGAACATTGGCTTGCGTCTTTCTATAAGGGAAAGCCCAGACTTTCAAGAAAAAATTTCCTTTCATGTATCGAAAGCAATCCATTCTGTCAGACCTTATTGAAGGCGTTTTCTACATTTTAAAATTTTCAATCGGAGAAACTTTTACTTCCAACGGCAGCTGTGATATATAATACACAACAGCAATGTTCGATGGTGCCTGGTTTATGTCTGAATCCGAAGTGGTGGTCCTTGCAGAAACATGCACCGAACAGCGTCAGAGGGAAGCATCCATCAGTGAAAAACCTTGCCACTAGAGAGCTATTTAGCGGCCATATATTATTTGTATCATATCCTGTCATTTATACGAGAGTTTTGGACTTCTTTCCATCCATATTTTCGAAGTTACGGGCGATGTGAAAGTCATGGTCGTTTTTTATTAGGAGGGTAATATGACGATAACGGAATACATGAGACATAAGTTAACTCATTTTTAGATCAGATAGCGCTGCCAGAGCAGCTTTCCATTTGGTTCTTCATCTTTTCGAGACCAATGGATTGATAAGTTGTTGATTCTTATCTCTGCCCGGTACAATAGTCGCTAGTATTGGTTGCATTACGATCGTTTCTGTTTGCCTCTGCATCGGAGCAAAATTTTAAAATGCAGTACAATCTAAAAAGCATAAAAACTCTAATACAATTTTTTACATCTATAACCTATATAGCCTATCATATGGCACAATGACATGATTTTGTGAGGTAGTTTGTCTATAAGGTTACTTACATTTAAACAGTTACAATTTTAGCATCAACCGCTTACGTCGTGTTGCACTGTAGGGGAAGTGATGGTAAGAATTATGCAACGAAGAGGGAAATTTTCCCTAACGCTTAGGATTGCAATGCAGATCGTTCTATATGACAAGTTGACTTCCGTCTTATTGAAAAGATCGTTCTGACGAGGTTCTTACGACACCTTTTCATTTACACATATATGAGTATGCCAGATTATTAGTGTTTGTATAGAATTAAATAAAAAAATTTATTAATTTTTTTATAACATTCCACAAACCTAGTAAAATCGAACGTCTAATACTTTTCATAACCTTCATACTAAATACGGCGTTAATTAATTTTGAAACTGGGTTCGCTGAGTGTAACATATCAGTAGTTTTGCGTATTTTCTTTTTATATTTCTTTTTTTTATGGTAGAAAGTTCTGGCCGCGCAATAAATATTCGCAGTAGTACATATGTCTCAAATAATTATTGATATGGTTTATCTTCACCTAAAATAATCAAAGTTTAAAATAAAAAGCAAAGCATTTAACAAAAAAGAGTTTTTCGAAACCATTTTTTTTTATTTTTTTATTAATTGTATATATATTTATCTTATCACTTTTATTAAGCTAACAATCTTAAAAATGTTATTTTTGGCTTTTTCTTTTGTAGAAGCTGAATTTTGTTTTTGAAAAGCTTTTACTAAAACATGTTTTTGACAAAAAAAAAAAAAAAAAAAAAAAAAAAAAAAAAAAAAAAAAAAGGAAATGAAAGAACACCTTTTTATTACATAAAGAAAAGGCGCGCGTTGCATTTCCTAGAAAACATCGTCGATAAATTTTCTAGCAGGCAAAACATGACATCATTAAACATAAACAACATTTTATAAACATCTTATGTGGAAGAGGGAAAAACATATAATAAAAATTTTAAAATGCTGCAGTGAATATTTTATATTAAGAAACAGGAAACCAGCGTGGAACTCTCAATTGGTAGTTTCTATTACCTATTTATATGTCATACGATATTTTTGATGTGTTTTTTTTTTTTTTTTTTTCCTTAATTAAGACGAGTTTTTTGTATATGATTTTGTCATTGGTAAGTTTTTATTACTGATGTCAGTATGAGTGCTTAGTGTTAATAGCAACCATACGCCTCATATGTCCACTTATATATATAATATATAACAAATTTGATACGATTTTTTGCACATAAACGCGTGTATGATATAAATAATTTCCTCTCACAAAATATTCACTGTGTTGTTAGTATCTTTTAAAGACAAAAGAATTTTTTTCTTCATTTATTGAACAAAAATGGTAAAACATGTACATTTGATTTCTTTTGATTATAATTTAATTTTAAATGATCATAGTTATTCATATAAACATTTATAATATGTGTTCATTATTTACATACACATATGTGTATATAAAAAATATCTATAAAAAAATCGCATAACACAGCCGAACTTCAAACTATATGCAAAGAATATTGGAATCGTCTTTACAAATTGGAGGGTGACAAATTTGATTTAGAGCATATCCAAAAAGTTAAGGCACAGGAGGTAAATGTTTAAGAAATTTTCTTTTTAATAATCTCTTAAAAAATACCTACCAATTGCAAAAAAAAAAAAAAAAGATCAATAAATTTAATGAATGAATGAATTCTGTATACATTTTTAAATATTAAAAAAAAAATCTTTATATATCCAACAACAAAAACAACAAAAATAAATAAATACATTAAGCCAAAAATGATTTATGCAAAGATAACCCCTTTAAGTGAATGACATGTCTGATATGTTTAAGTTATTGAAAGTTCGACTGGCTGCTTTTTAAATAAATGAAAGCGTACAAATGTGGGCGAGAGTGCGTGTGCGTGTATGTGTGTGAAAAATTACTTAAGATCTTTCTTGAAAATAGAGAGTTCAGGAGCTTTCTCTATCTTAATAACATTTCGTTTGGATTCGCATATAAATTACCTTAATATAATGCTCAACTTATTTTGCGGCCTCGTAATTACGAAAGAAAATCAAAATTTCTTATCCTGCCGAATTTTGAATTTTGTTTATTCCATTTCCTGTATACTTCAAAACAACAAACACAGCAACAGTGATAGCATCAGAAACCTAAATCCACATCAGAACACTTAACATAATATTTTCCTCTCCAAAATTTCTAAGTACAGTTCGAAGTAAAGCAAAAAAAAAAAAAAAAAAGGAAGAGAAAAGAGAAAAAATTCATATCAGGAAGCAATTTAATCAATGTCTTAGATTTTAGTCACTCATCTGTCTTTATCTCTTTTTCTCGCTGCGTACGTTTATCAAAATATATTTTCTATTATATATGTTTTAGTACAAAAAAAAAAAAAAAACCATTAATAAATAAAACAAATGCAAAGCACAAAAGAATTTCTAGAGTACTTTTGACAAAAAACCAAATATTCAACTAAATTTTCCAGGCGAATTACAAGAGATATGCGAAGAGTATTTCGACCGTATGTATCAATGTGAAAGCCAGAAATGGGATCTGGAATACGAAGTCAGGAAAAAAGACTGGGAGGTACTGCAACAATAAATTAAGCAAAAAAAATTTCTAAAAAATTTGTGTTTTTTTTTTACTTTTGTCATTCACATTTCCTACATGCAAATATATACAATGCAAAAAAAAAAAAAAAAAAAAAAAAAAAAATCAATTCGTATTTTTGTGTTAATTATCATCTTTTTTATATAAGTTTTACGCTCAAAGTTCATAGAGAAATCGAAGGTGTATTCTTGTGTTTTTAATTATAATGCCTACTTTTTTGTATGTGTTTCTCAAGACATTAATTCAAAAAATGAAAATTCCAAAACTGTTAATTTCAACATAAACACACGAAGGCACATCAAACAGTACATCTATACACTGGCATAGAAAACTGCAAAAGTATCACAACTGACTTACCGTCGCACATATACCCATAATGAAACACTTTCACAACGACTTTTAAAATTTTACCATTTACCGAATTCGTAGCGAATTATGAGATAGGTGTCTTAAGGTTTCTTTCTAATCTTAATTATCGCTAAAAGAATGGGGACAGATAAAATTTACGGAGCGATCATCGGTCCGACTGCCCGAATGTTGTTCGAATGGTGAAAATTGCAAAAATGACGACTGGGCCTAACAAAAGTTACAAACTATAATTATATATACATGCTTCAATTTTTATTAAGATAAAGATCCAGAACAATGGCATTATATTGGCACATTCGCTTGCC